GTCAAACATAGTGTTGTAAGAATAGTTGTTTTGTCATGTACATTTTCCTCATTAACATTTTCATTCTGGCACTGTCATTTCATTAGTATTCATATTTTTTGCGTCACAGAAATGACCAATATAAAACATTTTAAATTTGTATTATTTAAATTTTTACGTTTTTGCATCAGTATATTTTGTATTTGCATGAAAATCCAGAATGTGTATTATTGAATTTTCTGTTGAAATCATTTTGAATTAAAGAATGTATCACTCAGAATCATTACTGTTTTGATTTACTTTAAAAATGTGGTCTTTTTTTGTATTATCAGCTCTTCTTATTAGGTTTGGATTTCAAACAGTTTAGCATTGTGCATCACTTAAGAGATATAATGGTCAAAATACACATCTGTTATAAAAACCATGCTACTGGTAATGTTTTTATGAATTTGACGAGACTGTCGTACAAGCGAGAGGTTTAGCGCTATAAAACCAGGTTCAATCCACCATTTTCTACATTTGAAAATGCCTGTACCAAGTCAGGAATATGACAGTTGTTGTTCATTCGTTTGATGTGTTTTGTTATTTTAATTTGCCATGTGATTAGGGACTTTCCGATTGAATTTTCCTCGGAGTTCAGTATTTTTGTGATTTTACTTTTTATACAACATGCAGCTATATTCAATCCATATAACTTTCCTATTTAATTTACTCCATTATAAACTACAACAATATAGGGACCAATTGAAGCAAGGTTATTACGAGGAACGATACTAATCAAGGTAACAAGCTTAAGCAACGATTGAAGAATCGCATGACACCCAAAAAGAACGAGACCGGGTGTGTCAAAAAGATAAGCGTTTCTGATATATGATTCCACATTCAACCAAAACTTCAAATTCAGCAAAAGTACACAACCAGGTAAATAACAGAACAGACGACTATTCTGGTATATTAAAATCTAAGTCGGTAAACAAATGTCGTCAGTAAGTTAAGACAACAACAAATCCTTTTCTGAGTTGGGCGTCCTTTTCGTTGTGTGGGATTCAGAAATTTGCAGCCACGTTCGGCAAAAATGGGGACATTAAATCCGATGCCTTGTGTATGGTGAATGAAACGTTTTATTTATCTTAAAATACCCTACAATAACCACCTGAATAGTCGTAATTTGCATTTTACAATGCAAAATTTCTTCCCGTAGCAAACAAATCTTCGTTTTTCCATTGGAAGTCCAACATGTCCGACTATCATGCCGGTCGTTCTATCTTGCAGAACCTACATTTTATTCTAATTGATAATATATTTTCGGCATGAATATGCATGACATTATTGCAACTGGACCTTAAACAAACACTAATGAATGAATGCATCAATAGATTTGTTGTGATGATAAAAAAACCTTCACCAAGGAAATCGTGATATAAAACGTAAGCTCTGTAAATTCAGATCAAATGTGAAACATAGAAAGTTATTATTATACGATAAAACTATTCATGACGAACAACGTTTTATTTGGGAAGAAATATCATAACACGATATTTTTGTGTCCGTCCGGTCTTTTCGTGTCAGATAAACGTTTTTTTTTAGTGAAGGTAGTTTAACAAAGTCGTAATCACATCAACGTGAAACGCTGTACAATGTTCATTATGATTCGAAACGTTACAAATAATATGCTAAATGAGGATTTTGACCCCAATTGCAGGGTAAACTTAACATAGAAATGTGCTATTGTGAAATCAGTACATTCTCAGGTTCATTTCTTTTATTTAGGTAGATTTCCCTGAAGCTGTGGTCACATCAAACCTAGTACACATGTAAATCGGTAGATAAATTCTCCAAATTATATCCCAAAAATAAGGGGTTCTGATCCATCTCTTCACCGAACAAAGAAATATATTGCCAGCGGAGCATAGTGTAATTTTGAGATAAATTTTTCTGTAGTCATAAGCAATAATTTCTATTAACCACTTATCTTCATTGTATAGATAATTAAATCTTAATGTTCCAAATTTTGATCAAATTTAAGAAAACAAAGCTATTTATTTTATATTGCTAAAAATATTTACCTTAAAATAATTCCATTTTCTCCATTAAAGTTTACATGTGTTTATTGAAAAAACAATTAGACCTTATCATACTTAATATGTTCCAAAAGTGAATTCAATCCTCCAATTTATTTGTATTTGGCTATCATTCAATGTATTGATCCTGCATTTATCATAAGAACATTTGCGGTGAGCAGGTAAACATTTATTTCCCTGGAAAGGAAAATTCATTTTCTTGGAATACAAAATAAAATGGTCGCATTTCAAGAAATAAAACAAACACATTTGCATTTTTCACCTGTTCACAAAAATTAAAACAATACGTTATTAATTTAATGTGTCCGAAACGCTATTCTGGATTTACCTTCACCAGGAAAGCATTAAGCCGGATATTTGAAAGCCAAAACATCCGTAAGAACATTATTGTTATCCTGACGCAAGTTCTTCCGACTACCGAACATACACATTTATATTGTTAAAGGATTGACTACAATTCCAATTAAAAGCAAACGATCATAACTTAATATATAAAATGAATAAAACGTTTTGTGCACCCATTGTTGATTTATAGAATTGAGAATTGAAACGGGAAATGTGTCAAAGAGACAATAACTTATCCAAAGAGCACGAAAACAGTCAAAGGCGTCTTCAACGCAGCGAGAACATCCCACACACTGAGTCGGGTTTCAGCTGGCCCCTAAACAATTTTATATACTACTTCAGCGAAATGGACGCCACACTCAACACAGAAGCATAAAAAGTAACCAAAACTAAAAAAACACACAAGTCTTACAAAGGCTACATATTCCTGACTTGGGGCAGGAGCAGAACTGTTGCAGGGCTAAACATGTTTTTTTTCAGATTTCAACACTCTTTTATACCTCTAGACAATGAGGAATAAACAAACACACAGCAATACGCACAGTTAAACTCATTTCAACAGATATTCAAATCCGATGGTAGAATAGGTAACAAAAGAAACCAAGCAAAATGACAATGATTAACATAAGTTAACAAAGGGCTACTAGCAGTTACTGACATGCCATTTCCAAACCTCAAATAAAACGGATCGAAATATTATGTCTTCATAATATGAAAATCAAGCACAATCCCTCCCTTTAGGGGTTTAGTATCATGCAATCATAAATTATACGATAAGAACATAAATCGTATCATGCCAACAACTGTTTCAAAATAAATGTGTTTATTTCCGACGCAAAGGCCTTATGAGTGAATCAATATTAATTCCAAAAAAATCCATCTTTAATGACCTGACAACAATAGCGTAACTATATCCATTCTGAATAGGTCTGTTTATAGGTTACATTAGCTTTAGCGGTGAATGACGATATTTTTGTGCTTGGTATAGAATATTACTATAAATGAGGGGATGTGAAACACCTGAACGTATAAGATGTCTGCACGTTGATTCATATTTACAAATGATTTCCGTGTACCGATGATAAAATTTCGTAAAAGTTTTGACAAGTTTGAAAAAATCCTGACTTAATAATGTTTTAGTAATACAGAGATATCTTTCGTTGATATCAAATACGTTGTTACATACACGGGAGAATCGAACAGGTTGAGATACATAAACACCATTAGACGATGACAAGGGAACGTCACATCTACAAATGGATAATTAACAATAGGAAATGCAAAATCATCTCTTTTATCGTAAATTTTAGTATAAAGCTTGCCGTTAAAGATATATATAGCAAGATACAGGAAATAGCAGTTTTTATTGTTCGTATTAGCTTGATTGAAAGTAGGTTCAACAGGATAAATTTCTTAAATAATGAAGTCATCATTATCAAGAGCCAAAATATCATCCAAATACTAGTATCTAAAAGTGTTATTAAATATTTGCATCAGATGTTGTGTGGATGGGTATTTTTGCTGATTTCAGTCATACATTGTAATTCGTTACAATATATAGAAACCGGTCCGCAATAATTCCGAGAACTTAGTGATATACGGAATCTCCATAGGGAACAACAATGCTATTAAGCAAAAAAATTAAGTGCAGTTACCATATCAAAGCATGTCTAATTTGCATAGTTCTTTTGTTTGTTGTTACTAAAAATAGAACGAGTTTGGACATATTTATTCGCCTTCTGAATTTTAATTGCCTATTCAATTAGGTATATGAATGTTTCCTTATACATATTTCATGAAAGTGATGCTGTATATACGACCAGTAATCAGCACTTCTTTGTTAACATGAATTATCAATGATATGGTCATAACTATGAATGGACTTTAAACAAAACTTTGAAATTTTCGAAATCTAGTGGGGTGGAGTAATTGGTTTGATAAAATAAATGTTTAACTAATGACTAAGCAGGAATGTAGGACAACTAAATCACCAGAATGGGTCAAGGTCTTTTGAACTGAGCGAGTTGACACCTTACTTATAATACAATACAGGTTTATCAATTGATCATTTCTGGTCAAAATCTATCAATATAACCGTCCAGATATCATCGATGCAATTCATTTTACGATGGGTAAAGTTGTTTGTGCTGATGATTTGGTACTGATCGGTGCCGGGGATTGTTGAAAATATATGTAAAATTATTTTTATTCAGAAAAAATGTTTTGTTTTTAGACCAAATTTGACCCTGATAAGAATATATCAAGAAAGGCGAAAGATACCAATAGAACATTCTAACTCTAAGTCGAAAACAATCTGACAAAGCCATGGTAAAAAACGAAAAACTACCAAAAGACAAACAACAGTATACAAAACACATCATACACAACCAACTACTGAGCAACACGCAATTACCAATAACCGATGGTTTTATCAGGTGCTCTGAAAGGGTAAGCTGATTCTGCTTCACATATTGTATGACACCCGTCGTGTTGCTCATGTTATAGATCACATTCGAAGATTGAATCGAGAACATTATTTCAAATAGAATTTACTCGAGTAATTATCCTTATTATGTAACTCTGTAAAAATAAACTATTAAAAATACACTCCTTACGTATTGAAAAGATGCATAAATAAATTGTTTAAAACAAATATGTTTTTTTTTTTATAATCAAATCAACTTTTAAATTCAACATCAAATATGAAGGCTTTCTCATTAGCATGGTTCCGAACAACTATTCGGTTTTCTTTTCTGTCAAAATCAAGTGATATTGGTGAATCAAATGAATCAAAGCTAGTCAGAATATCCTTATATTGTCTGCCGTCTGGAGAAACAATCAATATACCATCGCCATCAGAATTGGCCACATAAACATTTCCCTTGGAATCTGTTGCCAGGCCATACATATCTTTATAGTCTTCCTTATCAAATTCCCACATGACGTTACCGCTCAAATCACAACAGAATAACGAAAATCTGTCGCAAAAGTAGAGCCTGTCTTTATCTACTGTTAAGTATCCGAGGTCAACACCAGGATTTGGAATCGTTCGTATCACGTGACCATCTAGATCCAGTACTACTATACCAGAACAACAAACATACAGTAAGTCATTGCTGCAAGAAATCCCGTAGCATTCACTTTCGGTACGACATGAACTAGTAACAGTGTCATTTGATATATCTATAACCTGAACGATGCAATATCTTGAACAACCTACCGCCACGGTTTCATTGTTTACTCCTGTAATATATCGTGGGTTGTAATCCATGGGTAGATAACGGATATCATTACTTTCTACCGTACTGATTATCAACCTTTGATTGTTATAATCAGGGAACACTACTTTATTGCCTGCAAAGGTGCAATCTATAATTTCTTGGTATTCGTCCTCCCCACATTCAAAGTTTATTTGACGGCGTAAGGTAAATGAAGAAGGAAAGTTATTTATAGGTATTTGAGCTTGTGTGTAGGATTCGTTAGTAGTAATAGTAGCCTCTGGTACTGGTACTGGTATTTGTGTTTGGATGTTGGATTTCTCTGTATCTCTACATTCTTTTGTAGTTTCTGAAAAACAATTCACGATTAAGCAGGAGAGTGACCACTTAAATCTTAGACGTCAGAAATTAGAAACATCAGAACATATTTTAGAAAATGTATCTTAAATATCTGAATACGACATTAGTCTTTTACAATTTCAATACGATAAGATACAAATAGAAGAAAAAAAGTTTTAGGTTGTCACGATTTTTACACTATCGGATGTCATCGAAAATGCTGTTCAGATTTGGATGATGCTCTCCATTGTGTTTGTTGTTAAGTTTAATGAACATTACTACTTCACATGGGTAATGTTTTTATCCTCTAGTCAGCAGCGGTTTTCAGATTGCATTTATTTCCTTCAGCGCATTTTACCTTTACCTTGAGTTATTCTTTGTAAAACAATTGATTTATTTCACTTTTTCTATGCAGGTACTGTTATGGCGGATTATTTTTTGCAAGACTGTTTGATGATCTGCAATTGTTTGCACCTTTTTCATTTGATATTTTTGTATTCACTGTATCATAATTTCTTTTTCTTCATACAAGATCAAATAAAAAGATGTGATATGATTGCCAAAGAGACAACCTCTACCTGAAACCACATGGCGTAGAAGTTAGTAAACATAGGGTGTACCTTATGTCATTGCACTGCCTTGAATAATTAGCCAAATCTATATTGCATTGCAGACTATTAAGTGCCTCGACATGAGAAATGTAATACAAATTAAAGGCAAAAACATTCGACCGGAATTTTATACAAAACAATAAACGAAAAAATAGTATATACAGTTACGAGTGCCCGAAAGCATGTTGACCAGCTACACTCTGAATATGCCTGTCCTAATTTAGAAGCATGCACTACAAAAGTCAAAAAGTCTGAAAAGACCAGTTTTTGTCTGAATTTGCATGAATTTTTAATCGACATTCTTAATTTGTCTGAATAATTTTTAAAAATTCTTGACATAGTATGAATTTGTCTAATAAGGTTCTTGATTTTTCTTGACAAGTGTCTTGACAGTATGAACATTGTCTTAAAATTTCTCGACACTTCCTGTTTCATCTGATAAGAGTCTGGATTAGTCTTGACCAATTCTTGACTGTCTTAAATTTGTCTCGATCTGTTTTGACATATTCTTGACATTCTTAATAATGTCTGAATATGTCTCGACATATTCTTGACATTCTGAATAATGTCTGAATATGTCTCGACACATTCTTGACAGTCTTAAATATGACACTATCTCAACAGTATAAATTTCGCCTGAAATGTGAACAGAATTATTCTGCACTGTTTATGACATTCTATTGCTGTTATATACTCCTTTTTATTATGGCTAAACTAAACTTTGAAGAATCAAGGATTAATTTGGTAAAGTAAGATACCTTTTGGTGCAACTAAGTTGGAATACCCTGAATAATCCCCCATGTAGTTTAATTTTGATTTATTTTTATTAAACATTTAAGTAATTGTTTTCACTTGGAATATAAGTCGAAGGTATTGACAAACAGCATTTAGATTTTTGCCGTTCGCAAAACGAATGTAGGACAGAAAGTCACAGGACAAAGAATTTGTTCCCATCTTGATTCAAAAACCTTATTCATTTTTTAGAACAACCCAAAAACATTTTTTATTAAAATTTGAGTGTTGAATTTTATAATTTTTTTTCAAAAATAAATATTTGTGATAACTCCTTACTGAAAAGAAAAAAATGTTTAGATCTATATTATGCATGTCTGTTTGAGAACCATTTCATAAGACCGATGATTTCTATAAAAATCATTGATGGGACCCATTATAAATACATTTTTTTTTATTATTCCTGGAGTAGATAATAATTTTCCTTTAATCTTTGGGAATTATTCAATTTGTTTTTATGTTAAAATAATTAACTTCATAATTTTGATGAAGAAAATCCATTTCAATTCAATTTTTTCTTATCAAAATGATGATTTTCATTTTCATCTATCAACAAACTTTTTAAATTGTAGTGGCATGGTCGGTCAACTGATAAGTTGTATGGCTGATTACAGGTAAAGCAATAACTTCTATTTGACAGTTGAGTGTACTCTGGGGTGTGGAATACCTTAATTTTATGGGAACATCCTGTCCATGTGTAATACTTAATATATTCCAACAGATGACAATACACAAATTTTTCTTCTGTTAAATGAATGATTTGTATATCATCATAATTTGCTATTTATATAAACCACATTTTGGTATAATAATTATTTACCATATCAATATTGAATATTATGAATGTAGAATGAAATATGTCTACTGTATGATTGGTTTGAATCATTTAATTTATAAGATTTAGGAATCAAAATTTGTAATTATTTAAAAACCCACATTGAAATTGTTTTATATCAACACACCCACATTTGAATTATTTTATACTTTAGATTTCATAGCCATATTTGCATTTGTAAAAATATTTATATACCCAAATTTTCAATTATTTTACATGCCCAACTTTTATTTTTGTTGTAAAGAAGTGTAACTTGAAACAACAGTATATCATATAAAGAGAAATAAAGATTAAAGTTATATCATGAATATTGGTCATGACTTGTAAAACTCAGAACTGTAAAGTAAATTTAAGACACGATTCAAAATGTTCAGAATATGTCAAGCCATACTGAGAAAAAATAAGAATGTCGAGAATATGTCGAGAAATTTCAAGACAGTATTCAAATGTCAAGAATTTGTCAAGAAATTTTAAGACCATATTCAGAATGTCGAGAATATGTCGAGTAAATTTCATACAAATTTAATATAAATGAGAATTTGTCAAGAAAAATTAAGACACAAGTCATACTTTTGGAGAATGTCGAGTAAAAGTTCATGCAAATTAAGACAAAAACTGGTCTTTTCAGACTTTTAGACTTTTGTAGTGATGTATGCAGTTACAAACTGCATACATGCTTCTAAATTAGGACTGGCATATTCAGAGTTACAAACTGCATACATGCTTCTAAATTAGGACAGGCATATTTAGAGTGTAGCTGGTCAACATGCTTTCGGGCACTCAACCCTTCATTAACCTTGGAGGAATGTTACAGTACAATAAAGACAAAAACTGTGCATAATTTGTTAAAAAGCCATTACTCATCAAATGGACCAAAATGACACCTTAAAAAGGCCAAAGACACACAGAGCCGGTCTGGGAGTACTCACAGTTGCCGAAAGCTAGTCAAAAGCCAATAAAAAACTAAACAATAAACTTAGTTCTAAGTCTATCGATCAGATTTCATTCAAATGGATAACACTGTTGTTGAATTGTAAATTTTCACACATCACACTGAGTTATATACAATTTCCTAGATAGAGCTTTACATTGAAGCACTTACCAAATACGTCTCATGTATATGGGCATGTGTTCCCTTATTGAAGTAAAAAAGATTTGCGATACTTACCTTGTATATCATTGGGTTGTTCTGAATCTTTTTTATACGTTTTACACGATGCCATCATCCAAATTATGAGAGTGAATGCCGTTTATTTTCACTATTGAAAGCTATATAAATTAGAAAATGTAATGTGATAGATATGCAATAAGCAAATATAATGAGTAAATAACAATCATTACCGTTTTTAAATTTCTACATGTTTAAAAGATGTTCTACATGTACCATATCTGACTATATGATAACACCAAACTGTATTCTATGCTAACAAAAATGTGTAGATAGTGACCAAAAACCGGCAAGATAACCTCATTAAAAGCTCTTTTAACCTATCTGGCGTGAACCTGGTCTTTTTAAAAGGTTATAATTACATTATATGTATGTTTCATTTGAATCAGCAATAATGATGGCTGACAACAATCACAAGGCACTCCGATATAATATTCTATTTCCGCATAAAACACAACAGTTATGACTGCACTAGTATCAATGATAAGTTTATTAAAAGCCGAGCGTGGTATAATAGTATTTACAAATGTAATCCTGATTTAATTTGGATATAAAAAACTAGTAAAATAATATTCAGTTTATAAAAAGCAAGTATTAATGTTGTCGTTTTATATTTTCAGTATGGCTTCAAAACTGTGAAAGCTGTCACATAGTTAGATATCGAGGTCTTTTTATGATGACATTCATATTTTTATCTATGAGCAAAAGCTTAAAAAAAACACCTTTTGTTTCAATGTGTTTTTTTACAAAGTTGTTCATGAGAGCAAAATACGTAAAGCCTTTCCTCATACTATTTTGTGCAGTTAATATGTGTATGATATGTAAATAATTACCATTTTTTGTATGTTGAACACTGATAAACAACTGTAGCTTTAATTTAAGCCAAATGGGTTAATATACAATTGAGAATGGAAATGGGGAATGTGTCAAAAAGACATAAACCCGACCAAAGAGCAGAAAACACCTGAAGGCCACCAATAGGTCTTCAACACAGCGAGAAAATCCCGGAGGCGGGTTTCAACTGGCCCCTAAACAAAATATGTACTAGTGCAATGAAAATGGACTTCACACCAAATTCCAAAACATATAAATGAACTAAAGTTAAAAAACATGTAAACATTTTTATGACATCAAAGCAACATCGCAATTGTGATCTTGTTCAAAAGCGTCCATTTTATTTTTACCTGTTTATTATATATCAAATGAACATAATTGGACACGCTTGAATGGTTGCAAGAAAAAGGAGGCTCTCATTTCACCACATCCTTCGACCGTAAACTCTTCAATTCACATATATGTAACTTTATTATGAACAAGGCACTCCATATATTTAGAATTTTATGAAATCATTATGGTCATGTTGAATGCCTGATTTGTTAATGTAACAGGGTTAAATACAAATGAAATGCAGTCACATAAATTATGTACTATACCTATACAAAGGAAAAACAATGTGTATTATGATTAAAACATACTTACAAAACAAACAAACGAGTTACTCGGTTACAAAGTTTACCTGTGTGTCAGTAGATTGTGCAATACAAATTGTACGGAAACATTTAAAGACCAAATGCTGATTGATCATTTAACGACAAATTTAATACACCTGTGTAAATGTAAAGTCAATATAAAGGTTGTTTATGTTGTAGGTAATATTTTGTTTCTCTATATTGATATTGTTTATGGAACTACATCATAGAAATGTCCGATCCTCCTTTTTCAAAGAATCCGCTTATTTGAATAAATAAATCGGAAACCATTGGACGGCATTCACATATTTTTATATCATTTCATATTTTTTTTCATCAAAAAACGTTTTAAATCAAATAATTGATTGAGAATTAACAAATAAATCTGTTGTTTGTCTTTTGTCGTTTTTCATCTTTTGCCATGGCATTGTCGCTTTGTTTTCGACAATCATGTGGTATCTTTTGTCTCTATTTAATATACGATGTTAATAATCAACTGCTCATAGATACTAGGATAAAATGTGTATTTGAGCCAGACGCGCGTTTTGTCTACAAAAGACTCATCAGTGACGCTCGAATGAAAAAAAGTTAAAAAGGCCAAATGAAGTACGCAGTTGAAGAGGATTGAGGACCCAAAATTCCTAAAAGTTTTGCCGACTATATACAGTGAGAACGTTATAACATCGTGTTGACAAATATCTCCGCTGAACAGATAGCCTTCTTCAGTGACAAGTAACTTTATCAAATGTAATACAGTATTAGTTGTTTATGTTCTTTTTACAGAAGAAAACACACTTTTTGCCAATAAGACGAGAACTAGTCAAAAACATGATGTTGTTGGATTTCGACAATAATGTCTCTTCAATTATACTCCTAGCCAATACATTTGAAAATCAAAAACATAATACGACTAACTTGGATCAACAGAGGACAATAATGATATTGTTTGTTGCTGTTTGTCATATTTGTTTTTCATTTGTTGTTTGTTTCATCAATCAGGCCATTGATTTTCTCGTTTTGATTATTTTACATTTTTCATTTGTGGACCGATGGTAGCTTTACTATGCGGTATGGGTTTTGCTCATTGTTGTATGTCATACTGTTCATATTTGCTATTTTTTATGTTGAAATGTATACGAAAGTTGTCTCATTGGTAAATATACCACATCTTCTTATTTTTGTATTAAAGTATGAAAATATCAACAGGTACCAATTTTGCAATATAAATCCAGGATAAAAAGGTTCTTCAAATGAATTTTAAGGATTATGTATTCTTATACGCCAGGGTATAAGAAAGATGGTTAACATTTTATATAATGGAACATCGAAATAAAAATGATTGAATCTTGATGGATAGCTTCCATTTCCGAAGAAATATATTATGACTGCTTAGCTTACAATGTCACCTGAAGAAATAGTGATACAGTAGATGATTTGGAATGGGATATCATCGAGAACTTTATATATACTGTGTATTAGTTGTTCAGTGGTTGTCGTTTGTTGCTGTTTGTCATATTTGGTTTTCCTTTGTTGTTTGTTTCATCAATCAGGCCATTGATTTGTTCTCGTTTTGATTGTTTTACATTTTTCATGTTGGACCTTTGGTAGCTGCTTTACTCTGGCCGTCGGGGTGATCTTACACTGACACATCCCGTCCTCATGGGATTACTACTAATCCTAAACTTTGCCGGGATATTATCATGTTCTTTTGTTTTGGCACAATATAATCTTATTGATAGATTCATATTCTGAAAATGTATGGCTTTTTAATCCATAGGCTTTCGAAATAAGTTCAAGATTGATAATGGGGTTTTAATAAGTAACTTATGTATCTAAGATATAAAAAGCTAGGAATGTTTTAATTGATTTATACATCACTGGGTTTTTAATTTTTTACCTTGAGCGTTTCTGATGAAGGTTATTAGGGGACAGCAATTACCGATGTTCACATGATGATCAGGAAGAGATACGTCAAGGCCACAAACAAAAACTGAGGAAAAAAAGAAAACAACCGGGTGCCTTAACAAAAAAAGTCGCCACTATGCATGCATCACCCATCATGCGAATTTACACTCAATCAAAATGTCACAATCGAGAATAGGACACAATCGATTGAATAACACACCAGACAATTAAACTGGTATCTAAAGTTCTAAAATCGGAAAATATTTCCCTATTTGGTTGAGACATCGACACATGGTATCGATCGACAATGTATGATGGTGACAGCAAAATGTAGGTAGTGTCGATTTCAGTCGTTCTTCCTCTTAACATTGTTGGGACAATTTTTGTATAAGGAGCACAACATTGTTAATAAAGAATCCATGACAAATCGCCCCACTGTCAAATCGCCCCACACCAAATCGCCCCACACCAAATCGCCCCACTTTTTCACCAACTCGCCCCACTTTCTAAAAAATCGCCCCACTTATGAAAAAGGGTAAAAGTCTGTATAGTGTGAACATTCACGAGCGTGTTAATTGAGATATGTAACGCCATTTCATTACCAAAAATCAGGAAAACACTGCTAACTCTTCCAAAAGCCCTGGAGTCCCTGAACTGATTTAAAGTTAAGTTGTCTTGTCAGATTTTAAGGTCCGGTTTTGTATTTTTCGTTTTTCTTTTCAGTCATGATGTTGTCGGTCGGTAATGAAAATTTCTTTTTTCAGTTCCTTAATTATATGATATTACTTTTGTACTCTTTTTAACTCGATGTAGTAATATTTTGAAAAATTTTGTCATTACATTCTTGCAACTCGGTGCTTTTATCTCTTGTAAACTGCTCCACTTGAAATATAAATTAGTGCCTTATTGTCATACCAATCCAGTTTTGAGTTCTGCCGTGATACACCAGAATGATTGCCTGTCACATTTATGTTTATAGTTTATAGACTTTTGGTCTCAAACGTATCTTTCCAAGTTTTCACCAATAGAAAGTTTCGTTCGTACTAAAATCGATAACATTTGACAATACGTATTTAACAAGATGAGGAGGAAGAGGTTGAAAGCCCTCAAAACTAGTTTGGTATGGTTTGCTAACGAGTTTTTCATTTTTGGGATTCTTTTAAGAAGTAAAATGAACTAAGCATAATCGGGCAAATCTTTAAAAAAGACAATTTTGTTTTTATATAGTGTTAAAACCTCTTTTACTTTACTAATCGTAAACAATCGATTTGACACTTTCTGTATACACGAATGTAGTTTGCTTTACCTTTATCATAGCTGCCAGTATCATGCTGTGAATGAAACTTTTCGGCTTAATAAACAAACAATAAGTTGGATACTTTTTTTAATGCAATACCATTGAAACATTGGCAATTAAAATATGTATTATATGAAAATGATTAAGCTAAATAAATGTAAGAAAACAAAGCAAAGTATAGTACAAGTTAACAGCAAACAGAGTAAAAAACATAAATCTTCACACTCATATTTCTGTACTGACAAAAAGAAATATACTGATAGTTCTTGCAAACATACTCAGTTGGTGAACTCCTTTTAACTGTGAGGTACTTTATAGAGCGTGTGTTAACCGCTTTGGATACAATCTATGTATAATTTGTATTACATTTTTCATAATATATTTCATATTTCCTATCATTTTGCCTTTTGTCGTACTGTTATGATTGCTTCATTGAGAATACAACGTTAGAATATGAAATTTACGTTAATATAGTGCATCCGGTATAATTCCAATGTAATTTAATCTAAAAAAAAAAATAGAAATACTGGTATCTGACGGACTTATTATGTACATATCATATTGTGAACAGCAGACGGATGTACTTGATTGATAAATAATACTGTTTAATGAGGTAAATAATGTACATCACGTGACCACGTAATTCATAAAAAGAATAAAGTAGTCACACCATTTAAAACAAGACTTTGAACTTAGTTTTTTCAAACTTCGACACAGGAATTGTTCGTTAAGTAAACGGTATATATGCAGTATTAATCATGACAGCCATAATCTAATTTTCTCAATATGCCTATATACCTCCAATTATTACTATTCATTTCAATATGTTAGAGCTTTAGAAAGAACAGATCAGGCTTGAACTATGTGACTGGGTGATTCATACATATAAATGTAATTATCCTATTCTGCTACAAATTATGTCGATAAACAAACTAAAAGACTGTTCTCCTTCACATCCAAAAATTAGCGCAAGTTAGTAAATCATGTTAATACAGTATAAATCTACAAATTTTATATATTATTTCTATGTGGACAACACGTGTTTATAGCATGCATTTCAAAATCTACTTGCACAAATCTAAACAACAAAACAACAAAAAACAAAAATCCGTTTGATAAATTCAAACCAAATTGACTTCAATAAAACGGACATCACCGTTGAAAGTCAATTTTGTCTAAAGCAGTAGCAATCAAATTTTTACAATATGTACATAAACAACCAGAAATTAACTAATTATATCATTTAACGCATTCCAATATCAAAGCAATAGTTACTGTACAGGTGATGATTGTCCATCAGCAGAGTACCGACTAAATGACAAAATAACAACAAATTCTACAATTCCTACGGATGCATGTGTCTTTATTAAGTAGACTCGCGTAGGCATTCTCATGAACTAATCAATCACTACATAGTGACTTGTTGATCATTACCTACTCAATTTATTGTTAAAATCATAGAAATGTATATATAAAGGAAGACTCGTTGCTTTCTCTACTCTCTGTATTAACTATCAATAGTTTACATATGCATGCATTAAATATCACTCTCAAAGCTTTCATCGCATTCACTTCCGCTGCTAGACAGTGGCGCTACAGGATCTGCCATTAAATCTATTTCAGAATAAATTGTTCTACTAACACTTCCACATGTTCCATGTATAGCAGCATCTTGCATTGTCGTCGGTTCGTTGAATGCAATTTCCGTATAGTTTAGACTTGTTTCACAAATCTGAAATGAAGGAAAAAAATAAGTCCATGGCAAAATACATGTAATGAAAACAGGACTGCCGAATCGTCTAAAAAGTAGGTTAAGGGAAAGGATTGGAGAGATTTTCGACAACAGTAAAGCAAATGCACTGTTTTTACCGAACAATCTTTTTCTCGCAGTCAACTCTAATTTCCCAGCCATAATACTGACGGACAAAAACAGTAGAACGTCCTTTTTATCTTTTTATTTTGATCGTCCTTAGTATGCATAGACAATTTTCCTGACGATCTTGAGCAAACAATGATCATACTACCAAAAGACTCCTACTTTTTTCTAGATCATGCATGTCGAAAGTTAGATATATGACATGTGTCTGTTGTTAATCTGTGATTATGTTGATAGGTTGTGTGTGATTGTCTTTTGAGGCGAATTGAACATATACAAATAGTCGTTACTATAGTTACCTGACGGTTATGCACTGACGAGATCACGCCCCTGTTTATATAAGTACACAGTCTTCGACCATTTGCTGAAGTGAAATTTATTCTAAAGCGTTATAAAATAATATAAATGTTTTGTTATCAGTTTTCTTGCGTAAGTTACTTCATTCTTATATATGTTTCTACAAATAACCTTTTAAAATAAACTTACAGAAGTTAAAGAGAAGAGGTCAGTGAAATGATTCTGCCTCTAGTTAAGTTGTTTGGACAACGTCACGGAAATCGTCAATGGCTGTGTTATTTATGTCTTAATGATTTTGCAGAAGGGTAAGCAAATTATATGACCCCTGATATGTTTGTATGGGAGTCTACAAATAGTGATAATTATAATTGTCAAATTCGAGGAAAAGAGGACCTGATTGTGTATAAGGACACTAGGATACAGTATATATATAGTTGACGTGTAATTGATACTTCTATGAGAAAGATTCCGTCTTTTCTTTGCGCTTAACTTTTAGATTTAACTATACACAAACATATACACAAAAAAAAAAGAAAAAGAAAAATTGAAACTAGCTTTACAATCTTATTAAGATACCTCCATCTTCGTTATACAGTTGCATCTGGTTAGTTTGGTTATCATGAGAACTTGATGGCAAACTTGTATTTATTACGCTCTGATTGCGTAAGTTACGAACATGAGCTATATCCGGGTCATCTGATGAAAGATAGAGCTGATTGTCGACTGGTTCCACTAAAGCAAATTAAATGAAAATCAAAGCAAAAATAGAAAATAAATATACGTGACAGAATCGTACCAAGAAAGCGCAACATTTTGTCGAACATAAGACAGTATTTGTGTTACTAAAAAAATACCTGTATTATGAGATTTGAGATCAGAAAAAGCAACGTGAACCTTTCCATATGGTCATGTAGTACCCGTGCTCATATCAGGAACATCGTTATTGGTTGTCTTTATCTATAACCTAAATGTTTTTGTTCTGTCATTTAGGAATTTGATGTTTATGGCACATATATGAAAGCCTGTGTAATGAGGAAATTACTTTTCTAAATGAAATGATTAAAGTTTTACTCGTTTCATATGCACTTAAACAATACTGTGTATTATCGAAAAGTGACGTTTACGTGTGAGTGTCTTGTGCAGGTGTATTATGTCGTCGTGTCGCGACCTAATTGACCAAAGGCCTACATCTCTTTTCGATATAAATACATTATTTAAATATTATTTTAAGACTTGAACAATGATAATTGTTTTTAAATCTGAAATATGTAAGTATATATTCATTATCTAGAACGAATCAAAATTATTACCCTGAAAGTTCTCTCTAACCTCTTCTTCCCTGCTATAAGATGAAATAATATGACTATTGACTATTATTATGTTAGATGATATAAGATTGTTTTGTTTGAAAGACAAATCCCTCTATTGTTCAGGCGCAGATACAAGTGCAACAATATTATGCCGTCGCTGTTTCCACGAACTGAAAACGTTTATCCGAGTTATTACTTCTTTGTCAGAAGCAGTAGAATTACATTCGTTTCGAAAGGCAAAATTTCCGAGAAGAATATGAAACTTTTTGTCAGATTATTGACGTGTTCCTCAATTAGGAAAATGTTTTGTATGTTTCCTGTTTTCGTGGAACAACATAAAAAACCAGTTTGGAAAACATAAGAAATATGCACACACAAAAAAGGACAATCGTTTTGAAAGGTCGATTTGCCGAAAGAATAAAACACTTATTTTCAGATTATTGACGTGTTCCTAAATTAGGGAACTGGTTTGTATGTTTCCGTTAAAACATAAAAACAATTTGGAAAACATAAGAAATAAGCCAAAAAAAAAAGAAGAATTATACAAAAAAAATAGAATGAAAAAGGAAGAAACATACATAAATGTAAACAAACAAATATCCTAGAGGAAGTTGTTCCTTTTTATATAAAAATCAAAGGAGACGTGTTTTTGGTATGGATCTTTTTTGTAATATGAATACAGTAATAGGATGAACGCCAACGAGACAGTAACCCGACTACACATGTAAACATGTACATCTTTAGAGTTTATTTCACATGAGATTGTTTAAAAAAACTTCTTTACTAATATTCAAAGCACAGTATGGAAGCTAGACTGAGACTTTAGCACCTTTGCGGCGTATTTAACAGATACAAATTAACTGCATTTTATTTCCCTTGGTGCAAAATTCTACAAAAACCTGTAAAATATGCATTTGAACACACCGATAACATATTGTCAAGAGTTATGTTCCAATAGTGTATTTGTATATTGTATGGCACAATTGGTCTGCAGAGGATTTGGAAATACATAAACCGTTTATCGATACCACGTAAGCATATTATCTTACATCTCACGTTACAAGTAACTCAGTATTATTTAAAATCAAAGGACATTCCAGATCTCTTTTCCCTGTCTATATAGTCAATATACATAACATTTGTAATTTTTTCATTGCTGCTCACATAGTTATATATAAAAAATCGTTGTTTTAAAAGGAAGTTCTGTTCTATATAGAGACGCTCTTATTGACTTAATCGAAATTTTCGAGACATTCGTACAACGCATTGATTTTGGCCCACCACTTTTAGATTACATGTCTGTGCTTAAACACAATCAAATTAAAGCAGCAAATAACGGAAATTGAATTAATTCATAACCCGTCAAAACATCGCCAATCCAGCCGAACGTCTTTTGACGTTACATTCAGAATTGACGCAATATATTCCCGCCATTTTAAATTTGTATACACATTTTTGAAAAACCTTTTCTTCCGGTACGGTGACCCCACGTTTTAAGTTACTTATTTTGTTTCATAAATAACAATGAATATTTTATGGAATTTTCATCGAGAAAACATTGGTCAATTTTATTAAACTGGATTTTTGAACTTTACCATAAAAATGGCGGACAACTTATTATAGCATCATATAGTGATTATTTGTCGCTCAGAAGATCATACTATAAATAGCATAATTTCTTCTAACAACAAGGTTAACAATACAACCAATTTTTATGTGATTCGGACTTTTTATAAGATATTACACTATCAATAGCTACAAGTCCCCGATTTTCAAATTTTATGAAAAAGAGGGCGTTTTAAATCGAAACCGAGGTCCATGACCCTATTTTGTATTGGCTAATTTTAAAGCTTTTACTTAACATACATGAAATAGATCTGAATAGAAGGATTTGACTTTAAATATTTGACTATTTGTATGTAAAAAACACTTAAAACTGTAAGAGTTTGTGTGGTTAGCTGTATTAACTGGTGAATTAATGGCCTGTAGTTTACCAATGACCACTAATTATAGTTTACCTATTGATTAAAAGAAAGTGTGAGTTACTCAGCTACATTTTAATGGAACTGAAATAGCTTAGAGGCGAAATGTGCCCGAGGAACGTACTCGAGTTTCTGTTTCTCGAAAATTTAATTAGGTATGAACTTCCATAGTCTGTATAATGGTCTGGGTCAATACTGCTCTAAATAAAGCAGCACAAGACAGTCTATCAGTGTAACGTCAGACTTACAGTTTAAGTTTGGTGTGTCTATTACTGTTAGTTTTTTGTTTTACAACGCCGAGTTATCAACTTTCCAGAACCCGTTGCATTGAAACAGTCACTAAGATTTAATATATGCAACTATTAATTAATTTCCGGATATTTAATACGTACGTCGTAACCCGATGTGAATAAGTGAATTAACTTTTTTTGTTTTGTTTACAAATGGACCTTAAGTGCTATTCATTTTTAAACGGGTGAACAATACGACTTTTTCAACGTACCGGAATTCATATATGAATAACAGGAAATTTTGAAAATAGTGACATCAACCTAACAACAAAAATAACATGAAGACATTCATAACATCCACAGATAGAACGAGCAGAATCCATGTATGTATGTACATGTAGTATCTATAAAATATACATACGGATTGCTGTTACCAGATGCACCTTTTTCTGTAAAGAACAATTACATATTATCAATTAGAAATAATAATTACGATGAAATTGAATTATGCGTTCTGCCCCTACTTTAACCCCTACACACAAGCAAAATTATGAAATAGCAGAACGTTTTATATTACTAGCAGCATAAAATAAACTCATCATAAATAGAATACTTGTTTCCATCAAGTTAAAAATATCATTGGCGAATATATAGAACATACTTTACAAATAATGCAAAAGTTTTGAAAAAAAGTAGAATTATAACAAAAATACCGAACTCTATACAAAATTCAAAACAGAAAGTCCCTTATCAGATCGCAAAATCAAAGCTCAAACACATCAAACGAAATGAAAACAACTGTCATATTCCTGACTTGGTACATGCATTTCCCTATGTAGAACATGGTGGATTAAACCTGGTTGTATAACTAGCGAAACCTCTCACTTGTATAACAGTCGCATAAAATTACATTATATTGACAACAATATGTGAACAAAACAAAAGGTCATAATCGGTAAAAATGTCAAAAATTGGGGTATAGCAGTCAACATTGTGTTATAATCTTAATCAGTATTAAAAAAAACACACAAATATGTGAATAAAGACCATAGCACAACAACACAATCAATATCGAGCCACATCAAAAGGATATTACTAAAAACGATTAATAATATACAAAGAGCACTATAACACTTAATTAAGATGATAAACAACGTCAGTACCTATAATCTATACTTCAAGACCATCATGTATTAGTTGTTGATACGGAATATTTATCAACAAGGTCTTGGTATGTTCCGATGATTTGTTTTTAGAAAAGGACGAGACGTTCTTTGACATAACCCTGTTTCATCAACGTTCTGCTCAGACACTTTGTTCTTCTAGTTTTTGACAAGTGTCTGAAGGAACTCCGACTCATATGAAAATAAAAAATGTTGGCAAGGAGAGGCGCACAGTTCGTTTCCAAGGGAATGCCGACAATATGTTAATAAAAGTCTGCCTCCAAATTTAACAAATATGTTGTCAATAAGAACCTTTAGCATACTGATCACTTGTTCCTCCGTGTAGCATGTTTTACCTTTTATTTCATAATTAACAAAATATGCCGTTTGGTATCCCAAAATCAAAACATTTATAGCGTATGCCACCATTTTTATATTTAAAAGCATTATAGATTATTTTTTTGAGACGATTTTTCAATTGAAAATGGAAAAGGTGGTATAACATATAAAGGCTTGAAAAATCAAAGCTTTTGATAGAATTAATTTCAGAGAAAGATTGAGATTTAAAATTATCCAGAGGTTCTTTAGATTTTATTTACACATAATCAAACTACGCGAGTAAACAATTTCATTCTTTCTAAAGACCTTTTTTCACTGCGGACGGAATTTGTGTTAATCTAATGGACAGTTCCTTTGTAGAACATGCAGATGAGCAGGCAATGTGCCGTTGTTTTTACGGAATTTTGTGAAGGTTAGGTATCCAATACAAACAAGGTAAGTCCTCAGATTTGCTGTGAATGTAATGATCGTTGAAGCCATGAAGGACTAATGGTTAGCCAAAATATCATCTTTGTCAAATGATATCTTTGTGTACGGAGGGAGGGGGGGGGGGGGGTTACCTGATTGCTCATATGTTCCGTATTCTTTTACAAGACACTCGTAGTAGTGCGATTTACATAAAAAAAAAATATTCGAAGCTTTGTCCGCAGGAACAACAACATATTTATCGTGAAGAGATGATAGACATTTCACAGTTGTTTTGTCTCTAAATATGAACTTTGGTCGATCATTTACACAATTTTTCAACTTTTGGATTCGACGTTTTATCAGAGAAGTTCTAGCTTTAACGCATTCTGACAAGGTGTCCAATTCAACTTTTTTTCGTTTCGTCCATATGCTCTGGCATAGTCCTCAATATAAAAATAAGAAGATGCGGTATGATTGCAAATGACTGTTTTATAAAAAAGAAATAATTATATCCCCAAAAACTGATGACGATGCCTAGCTGTATATTTGAATAAATATTTGAATTTTACACACACTTGTTTCTTGGTTAGTAAGAAATAATGACTCTCTTTTTTTTGTGCTGAGACCGCGTAAAGAAAACACCAATCGATCATAAAATATTTAGATCTTAGGTGAAGAAGAAAGAATTAACAAATTTATTTGTATATGTTATATCTAACTATATATTTAACCTATCCTACCTTTTCTCCCTATAAAGAAGATAATAGTCCATCCTGAAATAGCTAGAATGCCTACTAAAACGAACACTAGGACTACCCACAAAGCTTTAGCAAGAACAACTGCTATAGCGATCAATAAAACTACCAAAACAGCTTTGACACGATATATGTTAATTGTTGGCTCTGTAAAAAAAAATGTAAATTTACTGTTAAAAAAAGGATTTCAGGAATAAAAACGTACGGAATACTGAATCAAAACAATTTCACCTCTTTTTACCTCTCTCTCTCTCTCTCTCTCTCTCTCTCTCTCTCTCTCTCTCTCTCTCTTTTTGTGTTAAATGTTGTTTCTATTTTTCATGTTTATCTCCTTGATAAATGCATTTAAGCAAATAAGCAAGTTCATTATTATTGTGATGTTTTGGTGATATAACGGATTACAAACATGTATACATCATATATTTTTTAAATATATCATATCAATAGTATCACAAATGCATGGTATGGCTCTTTTCAAATGTGGGTAAATTTGATTTAAAAACAATCAAAATCCTTGCATAAACTTTGCAGATATTCGGCACTGGTCGAGATATAATTGTCGTAAACTTTTGTTTTTATTACCAAGATAGTCTTCTTATATTACTAAATGTTCTGCTAAATACCAAAAATCTAAGATTTTAAATTCTCGTATTTATTGTTGAACATATGGTGTTAACTAAAGCAATTTAACTGTGATATTTTATGATTACAAGAACAAGTTTTTGTCAGCTATCAAACTAACTTTCAAATACATATAGAGGATGAATCTGATTTTTAAATTAGATGGCACATTTGATAGAAGAGAAGAAGACGTATCGAATTAGCTTATCATCGTTCTTTTAGTTGTTGTAAATTTTGAAGAATTTCTTTCCTACAGCGACCTGTAATTTCAATCAACGATAATTAATTTTAATATATTTCATTGGCTTTAGTAGCTTAATGATGACAAAATCTCGTAAATCCATTAATAACATAAAAACCAAATGAAAATAATGAGAAAATCGTAAAAACTCAAAGAGGAGGGAAACTCATCGACAGAGTAATTGTCTTATACTATGCCTGCACCTACTACTGATGTATGCTCAGACATTCAGAAAAGTCACGATAGAGAGAAGTTCACATTGATTAATTCACAGACCAGACATCTATTCAGGTATTGTATTAACTAAGAACACTATATATCTAATAAGTTAAGAAACATTCATAGGGCATCCTTAATTAATTCGGGATTTTGAACTGTGACTTCCTCCTCATAACACATACGAAGAAGACTTAGGCATTTCATTGTTAGAGAACGTAAGTTTTCTGATCAGCCTTAAGAGTTGATATCACACATTTCTTTCTCAAGGTAACTTCCATATACGCACAATGCTATTTACAAAAAATCCACTAAGAAACTTTGTATTACATGGTATGAATGATGAGTATAAACATGTAGTCACTCAATATTGCATAATTACTCACCTAAAGTCATCACAGGAGTGACAGCCGTCTTTTCACTTTCACCAATTTCATTTCTGGAGAACATCCGAACAAAATATCGTCTTTTGGGGCTCATGTTATACAGGACATTTGACATCCTAACCTTCATGTTTTCAATAATAGGTCCTGACCGTGTCCACATTTCACCGGCTTTTTGTTGATACTCTATGAAAAAAGTCTGAGGGTCTCCCCCGTTATATCCAGGACACCATGATACTGCTAGATGTCTTTTATATGGAATTACTGACACATTTGTAGGAGGTTCGGGGCGTTCAGCTTTGTAGGAAAATTTACATACTAACGAAATTAAGTTATACACAAGATTTGTTTGTTAAGTACTGTTTCAGTTTGAAACGTAATCAATGTGTTAATACAAATCAATACTGCTGCCATGTGAAGAATGTTCTTTGTGTATCAATTAAAATCTTAACAAAACACCTAAGATTATATGTTTATTTTATAATATGTTGCAAATGTTGTACAAGTGTCACTTAAGTTGATGAATTCGATATTCATGATAAGGATTAATACACAATTTGACAGATGTCATAGGATTATCATTAATAGATATTGTCGACCATGTAACGATTCGAATCCGCCATTATTATATACGTAATTGTCATTACAACGATGTGTACTAGTATCATTCCGAGGGGTTCTTCAACTCAGTAGTCCGTGCTTCGGTACATTCAATATTTATACTATATTTTCGAAAAATCACCTATGATATAAGAAACTATCAAAAACCTAATATTTCAATAATAACATTTACCTTAGATGAATTAGGATATTTTCCTTATGTTCTTTTCGAAATACTAATTTTCTTTCCCCGGGAGAATATATTGACTTATAAAAACGCAACACCTTTCAGAATTCTGGGTCCGTAATGCTCTTAAAATTGGTAATTTATTTGGGCTTTTTAACTTTTTTAATTCGAGAGTCTTTTTTAAACGAAACGCGCGTCTGGGATACAAAGTTTTAATCCTGGTATCTATGGTGAGTTTATTTGATCATACAGTTCTCAACGCTTCTACGTATTTATACATAACAGGCTTATAAATGTTTACGTTTGAGCGTTCCTAGTGAAGGCTAACCCAGGAAACGAATTTGGACGCACAATAGTTATAAAGTGTTTTTTTTCATTAGAAAGTACAAACGTGTAGGCGAGTATTATCCAATACACAAGGTTATAAAGATGCAATTGAGAGGTGAAAGTTAACGTTTGCAAAAAGATCTTCAAACTGATAAATCGATGATAAACTGACATCCCAAAATCGAAAATCGATTCAAGAAAAACAACACTAGACTAAAAGCAACATAGAAAGCTAAAGATTGAGCAACATCACCCAAAACCGGTTGAAATCTGAAATTATCCGGAAAGGGTAAGTAGATCTTACTACTATGTGTCAACCATATTCACGCCTTTCATATTGCAAGACAATAAAATAAAAGATGGTTTCTTAACAAGTGAGAAGTGTATTTCACTTGATTATAATTGAGAGTATAAGCACACTCAGATAGTGCTTTGTCCGATAACGTAATGTTTCTAAATGTGTTGTCGGCTTACAGCGATGACAAGATACATATCTTTCCATACCGTATTCAACACATGGAAAATTGAGTGAAACACTTTTGAAATTTTACAAGTGAAATAAACATAATTAAATAAAGTATATCGGTGATCCATATTTACGCACACATTCTATTACATGAATAGTTTCGTGATGGTAATAGGTACCTGCCCTTATTGTCCTTAACCATTTTTTACACAATTGTTTCTCAATATTGTGTGCATTCCTTGTCATTATCTTAAGTTATATCATCGCAATTATAAATAGGATTACTTTTACTGAATATCGATTTCAAATCTGTTGGTGTGTATATATGTGTTTCAGCATTAATATATAACACAGGTAATGATCGAATTTAGCAAGTTATAGTCAATATATACACTATATATATGATTTTCTTTTGTCCTTATCTCTAGTTTTATCTTTGCCGTTGTCTGTCTTTCTGCAAATTAATGAATTTTAATCCACCATTTATCCTGAGGATATTTTAATATCTTGCCTGCTTCTAAAAAAAATATACTAAAACGTAAGATCTCCTCAAGTTAACCTGCCTGGACATACGCACAGTACTATTTAATAAAACCATGCAGAAACTTTGTATAACACGAGAACATGGTAACAACGATTAGTATAATCAAGCGTGGCCATTCAATATTGAATAATTACTCACCTAAAGTTATAACAGGAGTGATAGATGTCTTATTACTTTCTCCAATTTCATTTTTGGACAACATCCGAACAAAATATCGAGTTCTGGCACTGTTGTTATACAGGATATGTGACATTCTAGCCTGCATGTTATCAGTAATAGGTCCAGACCGTCTCCATATTTCATTGGCTTCTTGATGATATTCTATGAAAAACGTCTGAGGTGCTCCTCCGTTATATTCAGGACACCATGATACTGTTAGATGTCTTTTATATGGAATTACTGACACATTTGTAGGAGGTTTGGGGCTATCAGCTGTGAACGAAAAAAGTAAAATAACAATTATACCGAACTCCAAGGAAAATTCAAAAACAAAAAGTCCCTTATCAAATGGAAAAATCAAAAGCTCAAACACATTAAACTAATGAAAAACAACTGTCATATACAAACAAGTATGTCAAAAAAAGAAAAGCAAAATGGCATATAGACCACAAAATTAACATACAAAAGAATTTTACATAAACACTTGATTGTACTGTTTCAGTTTAAAACGTAATCAAGGTGTTAAGACCAATTAATAAACATTTTATGAATATACATAAGATATAACTATATATTTAATGTTTGGTATTTTTGTTCATATTTTCATATAATTTGTTGTAAATACTAAATGAGAAACTAAATAAACTTTAGGTTATCGCATATGCTATTTATGATAAAGATTCATACATAATTTGAGAAATGTCACTGGGATATCACTTATTGATAAAGTCGACAACGTGACGATGCCACCATTATTTTATCAACGTAATTCTATTCACAACAATTCGGTATCATTTCGAGGGAACTATCAGATCAGTATTTTTCCTAAACTAATGTTCGAACTCAGGCAAAGTTGACCTTAGATGCATTTGTCTATTCTCTTTATATTTCGTTTGATCATATAGCACACGACGTTTCTGCGCAGTTATACATCCATGACTTTGAAATTTTAAGGTTCGAGCGTTCTTGATAAAGGTAAATTCAGAAAAGCACCTCGGACGCATAAAATTTATAAAACATAATTTCATTTGAAAGTACAACCGTGTAAATTAGTATTATCCAGTATACGAAATTTTACTGCAGTAGATCCTCATTTCGACAATTACTGTATCTTTAGTTATCCTCGAATCCAGCATATTTGAAAGTCAAAAGACTAAAAAAAATTTTAAGCGCTGACAAAACCAAAAAGGACAAAATGTAAATAAAAAACGGACATGACGTTAGAGCTATGCATGTGAGAGATACATTCTACCTGAATTTAAAAAAATATTCAAAATTTTATAACATCATATTGTAATAAAAAGATATCCGTATTTTATGCATTTATTTACAGAATTACTTGTTTGTTAATACTCAGAGTGACTTTCCGTCCACCAACAGAGGTATGGACCCAGTTGCAGTAATAAAATCAACGGAACCAATATTACTGCATCAGATACGCATGTCTCTTCAGTGATGTTCGAAGTAAGCATATTTGAAAGATCAAAACTCATAGCATACGTTGAAGTACTGATAAAGCAAAAAGGCCCAAAAGTAATTCCAAACCCGTTTTTAATAAACAATCACAACTTTCATGATGCAAGCCTAGAGTACATATATCAAGGTTTATTCACAAGAGAGACTTGAATATTGCTTGACTACAATTGAGCATATAAGCAGACTAAAATACTGCTTTGTACAATAACTTAAGGTTGTCTTAAAGTGAGGACGGTTTACAGCGACTACATTACTTATACCTTTTCAAACCGTATTCGAAATAAAGAAAATTCGGTTTTAAACTGTGAATCGAAAACTTTTGAATTAAAAAAAAAACACAATTGTGTAATGTATATCTGTATGCCATATCTAAGCAAGTATTCCAATCACATGAATAGTTTCGCAACGCTATTTGTCCTTGATCAATATTAATAACAAGTGTTATGCAATATTTTGTGTATTCCCTCGTGTATCTTATAAAAACATACAGACGTACAATTTAAGAATGGCTATAACGAGTTTTTAGACATCAAAAAAGAATCAATATAAATCAAAAGGTTTTCAAAATAATTGCCTGATAAACAAATAGCACTACGACAGACACCTGTATTTTAGTAATTTGTTGTATGACCGCCATTAAGATTAAGTTTACTTTTTACTGAATATCCATATCAAATCTATTGGCGTGTTTTTTTTTGGTTTAATTTGTCGTAGTACTTGCTTCCGATTGATGACCTATAATTTAACACGAGTAATGACAGAATGTCCACACGTGATAAGCAATATGACAGGTGAATTTGGTAGAGTCGGACCTATAACCAAACAAGAGTTTGAGCTTTTTTCGTGGGGTTCTCTTCGTTGTTTTTTTTCTTTCTTTCTATGTAGTTTCTTCTATGCAATTGTCTGTTCTCAGGCAAATGGACGAATTTTGATCCACCATTCGTAATGTTATTAATAATCCTTGTATCGACAGTTAAATGGACGTTTTTTTAAATTTCATTTGCTTTCCTAAAAGCCTCAGGTAGCCTTCACATACACAAAGCACAGTTTATGAAATCCACTCAGAATCTTTGTATTACACGAAAACATGAAATCAATGATTATTATTTTATAACTCAATATTACTTGATTACTCACCTAACGTCACCAAAGAAGTCACGGCCGTCTTATTGCTTTCTCCAATTTCATTTTTTGACAATACCCGAACACAATATCGAGTTTTTGGAATCAATTCATTTACGATTTTTGACATAATAATCTGTTTCGTATCAATAACAGGTCCAGACCGTCTCCATGTATTTTCGGCTTCTTGTTGATATTCTACGAAAAATATCTGCTGGTAACCCCCGTCAAATCCAGGATCCCACACAACTTTCAGATATCTAGCATATGGAATTACTGACACATATGGTGGAGGCTCGGGACGACCTGTTTTGAAGGAAAATTAACTAAAATTACTAAAGAAGTTTGTGGGGGGGGGGGGGGGGGGACATACGATTATTTTTTAAGTATAAGTTTAACACGTTACCAATGAGATTAGTCTAATAAATATAGCTACCAAGCTGTCGATTATAGTTTCAATATGAAAAAATAAAACGATCAGAAGACAAAAACAGTATACAAACACGTAATAGAAACTTAAGACCGAACATAACGAACCCAATCAAAAACCGGAAGGGCAAGCAGATTGTTCCAAATGTGGGACCCGTAAATACATGATTTGAAAAGTGTTTCTGCATTATTACTAATAGACATGGTTGATAACATAACGATGTTATTATTTTATTATTATATACACTATTCTGATGACAAAACATTCTTATACGACTATGTTGTAGATAAGGTATCCATGCCATTAAAACAAAGCGTATCGTGAGGGTAAAATGTTATCGCTTGATTTGTTTAATTTCGATATGATATAATATCAGCAGTTGGAAAATTCATTATAACTATTGTTTTTATAATTAGGATTCATACAAATAAAGAACTCTGCCGTAGATCAAGATGGATGCAGGTGTCTGCAGTATGCCGAAAAAGTCCACCGTTACTCACAGATTGGTGCTTTCAGCGATCACATAATCATAAAAAAATCTTAAAAATGATTAAGATTTTTATTTTATCGTTTATTTGTTAGGCAACTTACATTTTGATGTTACCTTCACCGTATAAACATTACACTCCTTGTTGTTACAAGCCTTTATTGTATAATCTGTAAAATCTTTTATTTTAGCCAATGTCAGTCGGAATGTTATCTTTATACCAGATACTGTAACGTTTACACCATGGAACATGTCTTGTGTTAGAATCCTCTCCTGTCTTCCATGTATATCCAAAGTCTCGTTTTGTTTTGATATAGTTGTTTGTATCGTGCCATACTTATTGTACAATTGCACCTTCAACTGAATCTTCTGACCGTATCGACCATATTGAATTGGTTTATTTGCATTCACAAATATCGGTGGAACTAAAATGAAATATATATATAGAATAATGACAGTTTTGGTTTTGATGCTCACTTTTATGAATGAAGTCGCGTGCATTTCATTAAGTCATTGACGCAGATGACCAGGAGCGCGTGACGTTGCTTCACATATACGTGACTTTAATACCTAATAATCTGACTATTCAGGTCCTGTTCATGATCTACAAACACAATATTAGGGAATAGGATCAGAGGCAAAATCTAAAAATTGCCGATAATAACATTTACACATTATAAACGTTAAATAAATATAGATTATTGTAGAATAGTTTGGGTTTTTTTTTCATCTCTCTTAGAAATCATGAATTGTTACGTCAACGTTATAGGTCGCAGCTCCAATAGTATTCATATTTAACGATAGCTTCTCTTTTTAATAATTTTTTTTCAAATATATATTTTATCTAGTTTTATTGATATATCCGATACAGTGTTTCCTTGTCTTATAAAGTGGTTATCACTGAATAATTTTTGACTAGATACCGTGGGGGCCTTTAAACTTAAGCTTTAAGAATAAGCATTTTATATTCACCACTGAAGATTTTCATGCAATTGTCGAGATGGAGAACAGCACGAAAGAGTGTTTCCTTGCAAAAAAGAAATTTTACAAATATTTGTTTGGATTTTTTTTATCATGTAAATCTAATTCAATATACCGTGTTTCCGTTTTTATATTTTTTTTTTTTTTTGCTATTGAAATATTTAAACAGATGCATGCTGATAGCTTATAAGATATAAATTATAAATTGAAAGGCATTTCCAATCAACTATCAAATATTTGAACATATCAATATAAATTGGTTCCGTACATATAAAGAAAAAAATTCAATGTATTACCTTTATTGTGTATGAGAACTGATCCTTTCTGGGATAAGCTTCCATTTGTACCATTGATACCGTTTGATGTTTTGCATTTGTAAATGCCATCATTTTCATGGAACCTGTTGTTATTGTTGGATTTCAGAAAGATCAATTTGCCGTCAGATGTCCCTTGAACATTTCGAATGTGTTCATTGAATTCAGACCAGTGCTCCCAATCGTCAAAAGTATAATTTTCAGGATTTCCGCTAGGAATACATATAAGTTTTAGTTTTTTCTTAGTTACTTTTTTTCTTATTTTAACGACTGGTGCATCTGCAGAACAAAATACAAAGCATTCTTTTAGATATCCATTAAGCAGCATTCTTAAAAAAGGGTTTTACATGAAGTTCGGTATTTTTTATACTTTATTTAGAATATAAATGATAATTTTAAACATCGTAATTTAATGGAGTCAAAAAACTTTTTATTTCTCTTTGGGTTCCAAAGATTATATAGGTTTTTCATTACCTCATACAATGAAATAAAGCCAAATTTTAACCAATCAAAATTGTGTTCTTTATATACGAATTAGAGGCAGCAGTGGTTTACCGTGATTCAAATCTTATGTATCCATTTAGGAGATACAAATAAACGTAAAAAAAACCCAAAATTGAGGAATCGCGTGACCGGATACGTCGACAGTGTAAGCGTCTTCTGTTGTGAAAGCACCGTATCCACACTCAGTCAAAATATCCCATTTGAGAAGAGGACATAGTCAGCAAATATACAAATAAGTCAAATATAAGACAGAACATCGAATGAATTATAATAAAAACCGTGTACTAAACCCTTTTCATGTGGTATTAGTACACTTCCAGTTTATGTGTACTAAACTCATATAAAAACGAACAATATCAATATGCTTCTTTCGATCTGCTAGAGTAGAATACCTAACTTAAAAAAAAATGTATACTTCCATAATTCGCTTTTCCCGATGGCATATGGTATTCAGAACCCCCATGTACAATTGAACACCCTTGCATAGAAAATTGAAGCCACATGCAAATTTGAACCTTCCCTGTGTATTCATTGCAGAACTTATTGGAACATAAATCAATGATATACGAAGATAAAATACTAGTATATACTAGTATTGAAATTATGACATCTGATGGGAAGGGGCGCACTTTTCTATGGTGTTTTATGGGGGGGGGGGGGGGGGGGTGATGGGGGAGCAAATTACCATTGCTGAAAAAATGTGTTATAAAATCCTCTCCAAAACATGTTTTCCTTCCGGATACTTCTTCATGAGGTTAGGTAGCCTAATTGCTTTGATTATTTCAATTTATAATATCTAAAAGGGATTCAATTTTCGATGAAACGGGTTCAAAAGACCATAGTTACGAAAATTGATTAAATATCTCTCCAACATAATATTTCCATTCAATTTCATTAAAGATACTAAATATCACATAAAAACTAGTTTTTAGTTTTCTGTGTTGTGATTTGTGTACTGTTGTTTGACTGTTGGTCCGTTTCTTTCTTAGCCATGGCGTTGTCAGTTTATTTTCCACTTATGAGGTTGAGTTTCCCTTTGGTATCTTTTAAAGTACTTAAAACGCTGCTATTAATTGACATTTTGACATATTAGGAAATGGGTTCTTTTTCTCATGGTACTTTGTCAAAATACCGTGGCATAAAAATGTTTGGTAAATCTTTTCCAACTTATATTTTGTATTCAAGATACTTATTGCAGTATTATAACTATAAAAGTGGTGTAAATGGTATTATGGATTTAAATAAAAAATCTATTAGGATAGAGTTCATTTTTTCATGGAAAAAGGAGGGATTAAAATACAATGGATTTATAGATGGTCCAAGGACACAGTTATGGTCCTTCGGTTTTCGTTGTCTACGAATATAGTCCCTAGTGTGAACAGTGTATAACTTGCATTTTTTTTTGCTACACTTTCCCAATTTATTTCTTGATGTTTTACGCATGAAATATTAAGTAAAAGGATGAAATTACATGTTAAACAAATTTGGGTGCTGAATCTTTATGTTAAGTAGTGATTTGGTCCAGTTAAAAAAGGTCAAACATTAGAATGTCTGAAGCTGTCAAACTGAATTTTAGCCCCCAATTAAGACAGAATTGTCAATATTTTGAGGTAGAGCTGGTAGATGTTTCTATAATTTTGATATTATTTGTATCAATAGTAGTACACTACACTGTAAAAATCTTTTTGAGATAGAGCAGGTGTAATTTTTTTAATTTGAATTTATTGTCTAAAAGAAATGCACTACGAAATAACTGTGTTCTCGGGTCAGATGTGCTATACATTCCTTCAAAATGTTTTTTTTTTTAATTCAATATTCTTATAACTGCTTACCAGTTCGCATTGTCCATTCGTTTTAGATACATGAATTTGAATATCACTTTTGTATATTTTTCTTTCAATCTAATTAAAGTAGCGAAAATGCATATGTACATGAACTCATATTTGTTATAAAAAATCACACTTCTTTAAAGGAAACATGTTTTTATGGTATTATTTCAACAAAAAAATATATATTTATTTTGGTATTATACGGCTTTTCAAAATTGTTCATTCATGTCACATATGGAATTTTAATTAGTTTTAGCAAATTTCAAGAAAAATGTTTTAGTGTAGGATATCCAAAACAACTGATATATATGTTTATTCGCATTCCACAATGTTCCCTGCTGTCAAAATATTGGTTTAGACTTAGTTTTTGTCAAAAAAAATTAAAAAATTTGAAACATGTTCTTGAAGAATTGGAAATTAAAATCAAAATGTAGGTAAATTTGCTATAACAAGATGAGTCTCTGTGTCAACAATTGTTTGTTTTAATGTTTCCCCCATCCCTAATAGACTTTAGAGCTTGTCAAACAACTGTACACAACATGCACAATAAGAATGCTTTGATCAGTTAATGGTATTAATAAAACAAGTGAGAAACATGTTTTTTACAATTTAGCCATAGTATTTTGACCCCATTGACAATTGAATCTTCTTAATAGAGTTCAGATTTTAAAGATCATTCTAGCTAGTCAACATAGTAATTATCGTCCGATTGGTATTTGCTGTAAATAAAATATGCTGTAAAAGACATTTAACAATTTGACCTAGCCATGGTATTTTGACACCCCTATCATTTCCCACGTTTTTGTATTTTGCTATAAGATCAACATGTGTACATGTTGGAATGCGGATTGCTCATCGCTTGTGAACATAATGTTTAAGAATATATTCAGTCAAACATTTTTGAGCTAACTTGATCATGTTTATGAATAACCAGATATTGGTCGTTTTTTTCTAATTACTTGCAATGATACATTTTCAGTAATGTAAAAATGTAGTTTTTAGTAAACAAGGCAAGTGTTTGTTCATTCTGTGTTTGAAATTAATACTGTTTTCTTATAGTTGTTCATGCGAGAGCTTATAGATATGTTTATTTGTTAATGATGTGTTTGTAATCATGTTTTTCTTGTAGTATTTTCCCATGGTACAAAAAAAATCATATTATAATCGTTTAATCGTAAACTGTAAAAACACAACGACCCCCCTCCCCCCCCCCCCCCCCCCCCAAAAAAAAAAAACAAAACAAAAGTGCCTAAAACATATGTCCAAAAAAAGATAAGAATGTCAAGTACTAGTATTGCATTATTTTTTTTGTAAAAGCTGCTTGATTGGCCTAGAGATAACCGTTTGGTGAGGAATTTGTTCAAAGTTCTATAGGAAAAGAGAGGCGAATGATATTAAGGGAATATTCAAAACTCATAAGTGAAAAAAAAGCTGACAGGGCCATTGAAAATATGGTTTTAAGTTTAATATGTATTTGATGTCTTTTAATCATAAATGACAATGTATAAAACGTTTACTTCATGTGATTGGACAAAATCGCTTTGAACAGAATCAGAATAAATTTCTGGTAAATAACGTATGCACAAATATGTATATGGATTTCGTTACCATAAATTACTTAAAACGTTTACTTAATTCAGTCATAGATACAAAGATTTGATTACTAGTAGTAAATTTGGCTGTACCTAGAAAAACTTATTGAAAACGGTATTTCACATCCCAACTTTTACAGTAGTATTATACTAAAAGCGCGGAAATCACTATGTGATTCGTGTAAACTCATCGAACCGTTAAACGAACTTATTAGTAAAAATCATGTCGTCTTTGACTGTCCAATGCGTTAAAACACTAAATCCCTTGGATGTGTTTTAGTTGATTTTAGTCTCTGATGCATGATATTTATTATTAATTGTTGTTTGCTTTTTACTAACTGCGAGTACTCTTAAATCGTACTTTCGTGTTAATATGACCTGTTGACACAATTTGTAATGCATTTGTGTTATTTAGTGTTTACTTATTTTGTGTTATATCTCGTCTCACTATATTTTATATGTACCACTTTGAAAAGTATTTAGTATGACGATAAATTTTCACTTCTGGTCTCGTACTATGAACAACAAATTTATTTATTTTGTAAGAAATATTTCCGTATTCCTTTCAACAAAATTTTTAATTTAAATACCTGTGTACGTGATTTTTAAACGCCATTTTGTCCAAGGTTAAAGTTGTCTTTTTACATTGTTTTACATCTCCCCTTTTTAATTAAATATTGTATTTATATTGTGTCATAGATCAAATTTATTCGTTTAGTGTATGTTTACCTATTTTTGTTAATATGTCTTTTATCAAAGTGTGAGTTAAGCTATTCTAATTGATATTTTATAGTGTGTCTTTCTATGTTATAATGTTACACTATTATTTTAGGTTATGGTGAAGGTTGGCGCCTGTTGAAACGTTTCAACCCGCTGCATGTGTTTGCAACTGTCCTAAGTCAGGAACCTGTTGTTCAGTGGTTGTCGTTTGTTGATGTGGTTCATAAGTGTTTCTCGTTTCTCGTTTTTTTATATAAATTAGACCGTTGATTTCCCTGTTTGAATTGTTTTACACTAGTCATTTTGTGGCCCTTTATAGCTTGCTGTTCGGTGTTAGCCAAGGCTCCGTATTTAATGCCGTATTTTGACCTATAATTGTTTACTTTTATACATTGCGACTTGGATGGAGAGTTGTCTCATTGGCACTCAACCCACATCTTATTTCTATATATTATAGTTTTACCACATTAAATCTATAACAATGGACACCACATTATGCATATTATGGAAAAAGAGCCAATGTGTATGGGACAAAATATTCAAACTTTTCAAATCTTTCCTTGTTACATGTATCAACGCTAAAAAGTCAATTTCTAAATTATGTACTCACACTGAATATCCAACAATACTTTACGTGACAGAGGATTATCTAGTAAGGAACTGTTGGCAGAACATACAAATGGTTTCATGTTGTCACGTTTTGATGGTATGAAGCGATACCTTAAACGACCACTTCCAACTCTTTTAAGTTCTTCTCGATTTATTTTCATAAACAAGTTGATTTCTGGTATATCGCTTTTGAGATTACAGACGATCTTTAGTTCTTTTCCTTCTACTCCGCGAACTACTATCTGTCCGTTTTTTGTAATTGTTCCTCGTACTTTGATCTTTGAAGATATTGAATGTAAACCTAATCAAATAGAATCAATTATAATCTTTTGAAAAACAAAATGATCTGTAAGGAATTATCAAATGCTTAACTACTAGAAGGTAATGTTCAACCTATTTAGAACGTAAAAAGAATTAAATTATGTTTAAAGAAGATGAAAAAGTACCGGAATCGATAAGTGATGACAAATTTCCATACTAAATTCATGTAAGTTACGGCTTTCAAAAAGGACTGTTTGTTTGTTTGCTTGTGGTTAGCTTAACATTCGTCTATATTGGCTATTTCATAATTGCGTTTGAATTGACGGAGGAAGCTGACAATACATGGAGATAATATCAACCTCATGCAGAGAAACAGGCAATATTTTGCCAATTAAGATCTGAGTTGAGCTCACTTTGTCACGAACGTGGTGCAAACTCACAACCATAAAGTAGACTGTCTCATGGTCACTGTAGATGAACTACTTACACACCATCGATCATCGAAATCAAACTGACAATGCCATGGGGGAAAAAAGACCAAAAGACCAACAATAGTATACAACACACGACACTAAAGACTGAGCAACACGAACCCCACCAAAAACCGGGAGATGATCTAAGTTGTTCCGGAAGGGTAAGCAGATCATGTTCCACATGTGGCACCCGCCGTGTTGCTCATGAAAGTACAAACCTGGCGATGAGTCTCATTCAGTATAAGGTTGTATATTCGACTTTTGTTATCTCCATTGATATCAATATTGGAATTTTTCAGTTTTGAATTTAGGAAGTGTCCAACAGCGTAGTGTATGCTGTTTCTGTCCGTCGCATTTTGATAAAATAAGGATATACATAATATATATGTAGCCTCAAATCTATGTCCGGCCTCAAATCTATGTCCTTTCCTCAAATCTATGTCCTTTATAGTATTGCGTCATAAACGTCCCAAATCTATGTCCTTTATTGTCTCAAATCTATGTCCTTTTTCGAAATCGTATGACGCAAGACAAATCAAGACGTCATCGTGTATATGAAGTCACTGCATGAAGTAACAGCGATACAAGGAATGAAGGAGTATTTTCAAAAGCAACAACTAAAAAACTAAACAATGTGTTCTAACAATTATCAGGACATCTTTACTCTAACTATTGGGGAAACTTTACAATTCAGGACAAATCTAGACATAAACAAAGGGATTGCGGTATCTAGTACGTCTGGTTTTTGGAGAGAAGGAACATGCCAACACATAAAGAATTACACTTCTCGGGGAAAAATCTTTCCTATTAAGACTTTATTGCAAATTGTACATTTAAACTAAATAAATATCAGTTCTGACCAAAAAGTTAGTTTATGTCCCACTATGGTTTACAGATTCTCCTTTATATAAAAGAATATATAATATTTTATTTTAATTTATGTGGTTTTGAATCAGATTTTTTTATTTAATGTAAAAAATAAATAAAATATAAGAATGGGAATGATGCATTTACAACTGTATGGGCAGGGACAAAATGACGTATGAAGATGTAGCAATAAACAAAAAATACATAATGTGTAGTATAAACTTTCTAATTTACAAAGTAATTAATAAAAAAGTTGCTCAAATTATTGTTGTCGAACTTAATAAATCTGACCGTATGCATGAAATAACAAAGAAAACAAACATGTAATAACATTTTTATGTGGTATCTATACATTGGAACAAAACGTATGTAAAGAACCTGTTGTTAAAGGAGAAGTCTCTATATTTACTAGAACAAACATGGGATCAAGAAAAGCAAAAGATTTGAAAACATCGTATGTTCACATTATCCTACTATAGAGAATAGGTTAAATTCATTGTTGAAGGCCATATATTAACCTTTTATAGTTGTTTATACACATGTCATTTTGTCTTAGATTGTTTATTAAAAAATAAGTCACAAACATAGGATCAAGAAAAAGTTTTAGTTTCACAAGAATAAGTTCAATTCATTGTTGGAGGCCCTACATTTACCCTTTAGTTTCACATTACAACATAACTAATATAATAATTACGCACACACCTAAAAGAATTAAGCAAGTTGAAAACATTTCCAGACATAACATTAAGTTATGGGAAAAGACTTAATAGTACACAAGTGTAAGGCCATACTTATTAGACGGACATAAATTCGCGCATGTCGAAAAAAACACAAACAATTGAGAACAGGACACAGATTTGAGGCCGTATCTTTTTTTACGGACATAGATTTGCGAATGACGTCACGATTAGACACAGATTTGAGGAACGGACATAGATTTGAGGCCGTACACAGATCTGAGGCTTACATATATATATATATTTATAAGTACGTCTGAACCAGTGACGACTCTACAACAGATTCTATCCATCGGATCACCAGCAGTGATGGTGATACAAGGCTGAAAATACATTCTGTAGATATAATTCGTCTAAACAACAGCCCAACAATGTTAGATCTGTAAATTTGCGGAAGCAATTTTTTTTTTTTTATATATATATATATATGTTTAAGATTCAGGTGAATTTATTTATCTCACTATACACTTTTTATGACAAATATACTACATTGATCTATCGCCACACTTCTCATTGTTTTATCTTCGAATGAATAAAAACTGATTTAGTATTGTGTCTGCACGATTTGTCAGATTGTTTTGCCTTTAAAAATACGTTTCATCAATTATTATGTAACAGCTTTTATTTGCAAATTTGGGAATACACTTCTACTAAACTTTTTAGACAAACTTAAATAGTATGACATAAAAATGAATTACAGAATGTCAACATATAATCAACTGTTCATACACAAGATTTTCACTGCTATATGACTGTAGATGTCAGTTAATCGTACGGATGCGTTACGGGTTAAAATCACAGTATGTTCACACATAGTACAACTTACCTGACGAAGAAATTACACATATAGCTAGCAACTTCAAAATACAGCTGCCAAAATTCATTTCTGTAATGAAACAATATATAGCAGAGATAGGATATTAGTTTAGAGTGTTCGTGATGGGGATGAATTACGGTGAATGATTCGGACGCATGAGGTTTTTATTATTTTGTTTTTATGTTGCATACCCTTGTATTCATATTGTACATGATTTGCGTTTTTTCGGGAAAGTATATATTTATTTTTTTTTACTCTACCTTATGTACTATCAGCTACAAACCGTTTTTTTTTTCGTTGGTGTCATTGTCAGATTTATTTTCATGTTGTTTGTCTCTGATTTATGTTAACAGAGTTTGGCTGCTGAATTCTAATCGTTAAGACAGCAGACAATTATTTCTAGTTGGGTTGCTTTTGTCAATAAAACCGAGTTATAAACATTTTCATACAAGTGGCAGGTTTAGCTAACTACAGAATTATGTATAACCAACCAGTTATTTCCGGAAATGCCAGTACTAAGCCAGACATATGACAGTTGTTTTTATTTCGGTCCACTGGTTGATATTGTCGACAGTTTGATTTTGTCGGGCTTTATGGACTTTATTCTTTTTGAATTTAACTTTGAGCTCGGTATTAATTTTAATACGTTCTTATTATATCTTATTCCTTTTATCTACCAAATCTGATCGTTTTTACATCATTTTGAACAAACCCAATTCCAACATTTCCATAGGATGTTTTTTCATAATCACTCATCCGATTTGAACGGTGTTTGATTTCAGACTACAGTACTTAAATAATTGCATGCAACAAAAAATAATATGACATTGGAAACCAATATAATGTTAATGACAACGAAATAAATCATAAAGAAATACCTGATGCTATGGAGTGTACTTTATCTTCCTGATTTGTTATTTAAGGATGTACAAATAAAATTCATAAATCAATTTTCAACCTATCCAATAAAATAATATTTCCCTTATTAAAAAATCCAAATGTATATCGGAAATTATTAATCGATGTTTAATGATTTGTGCCGGAACAAAATAGAAAACGAGGATGAAGTATTTCTGGATAAATGCATCATTTCCTAAACACCGAGTACATAATTTGGAATATGTCTCTGCGTGGCAGAATTCCAACTAAGGATTGTTTAATTTGTGTAATTTGTTAACATGAAAAATGAGCATTACGTATACGTTGGGATGAGTGTTTAACAATTCATTGTCGGCATGTTGTCATGAGTCATCGTATAACTAACATACATGTATATTTTACCAAAGGCCAATTCGTTGTTAAGTCTATCAAAATAAAAATATACGGTTGCATACCAAATTGTAAAAGGACTATATGTTTTAAATTGTTCGTAATTCTCACTGAAAATAATGTGTCGTTATTGTTTGATTTTGAAATATCTTTAATGTTGTCAATGTATCCATAAAGCAGACGTATAGATCAATTCGACAATTCACTGCTCCTCCATTGAGAATTTGCATCAACCTTGTTTTCTGTTGAATATTTTCCTGTTTATAGACAATGTTTATACCTGTAGGTCTGTTACTTGTTGTAATTATAGCCGTAACCTCCCAAGGTTTGTTGGTCACCGCTTCTTTACATATTGTTTATAATTACCCGATACACGTTTGCAGAGATGTAGTGCTGAATTAGACGTTAACATTTTAATATCATCTCTTTGTCAAAGTACTGTAATAGCTGTAATCAGTACTTATTTAGTCAAAAAGGGTGGTTCTTATGGCTGATTTTTCTATCCGGACATATCCTAAAAACTTCATTGTTCATGGTAAAATCCTCCAGCGTAACACGGCTTGAAATATTCTGATATCTTAATTAGTTGGTTGCTGGTAAAACAACTGGCATTATGAAAAAATTGCAGTCTTAATACTTCTCGATCTGTCAAATAGAAATTTGTTTTGAAAAACTTAATCATACATTGGCTTTTTTAAATGGCTGGATTGACCATCGCATTTGACTTTTTAATTGTTATTATCTTCTAATTTTTTTTCCAGTCCTTGTTTTTTCGGGAATCTGTGATGATTGGACAAGGTTTAGTGAAAGTAATAAATACAGTGACATTTCAAATCACGAAAACAAATTTTTATGAATGGATATTTACGTCAAGACCCGAATATAATCATGGATGAACAGCCACACAAACATTGGAAAACTTTCAGATACACAACAATAAATTGACCCAGACAAATCCATCCAATGAAACGAGTATTAAGGATGGTCAAGTGGTCAGTGTGTTTTGTTTGACTTTACATGATTTTATGACTACACTATTGTCCATTACTGTAACAAAATAAACATGTTAATAAAGGGGAATAGTTAGTCCTCATCGGTATACCAATCATGTGACTGGTACTTTATTTTTCAGGAACATAAAGGTATGTGTTTTTCTCATTGTTGAAGGCCGTGCGGTGACATATAGCTGTTAATCCTACGTCATTTAGTCTCCGAATGAAACTAGTCTCATTGCAATCATATCAAATCTATATAAATATTAAAAAGCACAATACAAATAGCTTTGATAATTTACTTCAATAAGTGTATGTTTTTACAAATAATAACAACATTACAAACACTATTCAGTTTTGATATTCTTGTCATGGATAGAAAATGCATAAAATAACACCCATTACAAACTCAATCCCAATTTAATATTCTTGTACGTGTCTATAAATAAAACAAATCAATTTTTAGAAATTAACCTGTGAGAATATAAACGTCACAAAATATACGTCACATTTTGTGACGTTGGTCCATTCATGTGACGCGCAGTTTATATTTGTCTATTGTTATTCTGCGGTTTACATGTTGTAATGTACTATCATATTATTCATTTATGTATTTCTCAGTGCTGAGTATTCTTGCGCTTTGTGTACTGTATTCCTGTCACGTAGTGTTGTCATTTTAGCGGTATTCTGAACATCGCCATATAAGCGGGAGGTATGGCTTGCCATAAAACCAGGTTCAAATAAACTCATCATAGATACCAGGAATAAAATTTTGTATTAGCGTCAGACGCGAGTTTTGTCTACAAAAGATTCATCAGTGACGCTCGAATAAAAAAAAGTTGAAAAGGCCAAAGTACGAAGTTGAAGAGCATTTAGGACCTACAATTCCTCAATGTTTTGCCAAATTCAGCTAAGGTAATCTATTCCTGAGGTAGAAATGCCTTACTATTTCAAAAATTCAAATTTTATATACAATTAATTTATAATTATGACCACATCAATGATAATTCAGGTCAACACAGAAGTGCTGACTACTGGGCTGGTGATACCCTCGGGGAATAAAACCCACCATTTTTCTTAAAATGTCCTGTACCAAGTCAGGAATATGGCAGTTGCTATCAGACTGTCCGTTTCTATGTATGTTGGCGTTTGCTTGTGTTGCAGTTCCGTGTTTCTGTTGTTCCGTGGTTTTCCTCTTATAGTTGATGTGTTTCCCTCGGTTTTAGTTTGTTACCCGGATTTGTTTTTTACTTTATCGAATTATGACTATTGAACAGCGGCATACCAATATTGCCTTTATTTATCATCAAAATGGAATTGTAACGAGAACAACCCTGCAATTGATATACGTTTTTGTATATTCATTGACATAATGTTCTATTATCAAGCATGTCAGATTGGAGACGATGTGTAGAAATTTAATATTCAGAGCTGAATGAATAACCGCCATTGATGACAAAAAAGAATTTACCTAATCAAAGATATTATCAAAGTTTATTTAACACCGCTATTAACATAAATTATTCACAATATCCCCTAGTGAGTCGAATCACAATGTGTGCGGATTAACATTTACTGAATGCAGATATATGAGAGGGGATTCCCGTTGTTTTGGGGGAGAAAGCAAAAACACATTCTACCCCAGGAATATACTACCATTGCTGTATTTGGCAAAACCTTTTGGAATTTGTGGTCTTCAATGGTATTCATCTGCGTACTTTTTGGGCTTTCAAACTTTTTTGAATCGAGCATCACTGATGAGTCTTTTGTAGACAAAAAAAGTAAAATAACAAAAATACCGAACTCCAAGAAAAATTCAAAACGGAAAATCCTTTATTAAATGGCAAAATCAAAAGCTCAAACACATCAAACCAATGTAAAACGCGCGTCTGGTGTACAAAGTTTTAATCCTGGTATCTATGATGAGTTTACTTGGAACCTAGTGGTGCGCAGTAGAAGCTTCAGTTCATTCATTGTTAAAACATGTTCTTTAAAGTTCCGTAGACGATAATAAGGTGATTTTGGACGATAATTCTTAACTTTCAGTCGTAGATCATCTTGACCTTTCCTATTTTACAGTGGCCACATGGATCTTAACGAAACCCCGATTTGTCACATATTCAAATGTTATAGGAGTGGGTTTTTTTTTGTAATAGCAACCACGTAGGTAAATTGTGTCTAAATAAAAACTATACATCTGCTAGAAACTGTGAAAATGTAGGGTTGAATAGGCAATTAAGTACATCCAAAATAGAGAGGCGAAAGATACCAAAGGGATATTCAAACTCATAAGCCGGAAACAAACTGACAGTACCATGGCAAAAAAACCAAAAACCAACGAAAAACGACCAAAAGACAAAAAACAGAACACAAAAGACAAAAAACACAACACAAAAGACAAAAAACACAACACAAAGCACAACATTGAAAGCCACGCTTAGATTACTATGACCCCAGTACACATTTTTGAAAAGGATATCATCGAAAATAATATATGATAAAATGACGTTTTTTGCGGTATTTAAATGTTAGGACATGGTCAGAGAATACTTGTTATTGCTAGTGACTAATTACCTTGAGCGTTCCTGATGAAGATAAATTTAAGGGACAGTAATTACCAATGTTCAAATCTCGTAAATCGATTAGGGAGAGATAAATCAAGGTAAAAAAACAAGAAACTGAGAGAAAAAGGAGTGAGACAGGGTTCCTTGACAAAAAAAAGCGTCGTCTGCTATGCATGCATCAACCACCAAGCAAATTTACACTCAGTCAAAATGCCACAATCGAGAATAGGTCACAATCTATCAAATTACAGACAGACAACTATACTGGTATCTGCAGATCTTTAATCGCGAAAACATTTTTCTAATGAGTAAAGACACCGACCAATCGTATTCTTCAACAATTTATAATAGTGACTGTTAAATGTATGTTGTGTGTCGATTCCAGTCGTTCTTTCTCATAACTCTGTTGGAGCAGTTTTTGTGTAAGGAGCAAACCAATGTGAATAAAATCCGTATCGTGTGAAAAGGAACAAGCGTGGTAATTGAGATATGTAAATGCCATACGATAGAGCAGAGGGTATATTACTGCTGCGAAATATGAAGTTGATACCTGGAAAGTTGAAATGTTCACATTTTAAATCAAGAATAGCGACTGAACGCTGGCCATGATTTATAACATTTTGTTTCTAAAATTCCCCATTGATATAATAAGTAATTATTAAGAAACCAAATTCCAATTGCCAAAGTCACAGATGTTCTTCAATGAAATTGCTATTTGTAAGTCCCTTTCGTCGTACAGGTCCTACGCTTTTGGCGTATTTATACACCCCGGGGTTTCAATTTGTTTCATCTTGATCGTTCAGCAACTAAAGGTAAATCCAGGAAACATACTTATGACCCACGGAAGTATAAAGAGTTTGTTTTATATTATTACATATTATTAAAGCACTGCAATGATAACATGGATAACACTGTTGGTTGATTTTTAGTCCACAAAAGTATCATCCGTTCAGTAATAAGTACTTCGGAATGGACATTATTTGTAACATACTTTCCTCAGATTCCCCATTGACAAATTACGAAATTATGAAGAACTAAAGGATCAAACTACTTCAGTCAAATCTGACCTGAAGTGAGTTTGAATA